CAGGGGTCCTCAAACTTTTTAAACATGGGGCCAGTTCACTGTCCCTCAGACATTGCTGGGGGCCGGATCATAGTCCCAGAACAAAGGGGGAACGTTAGTGAGCAATTGCTGTGCGTTCCAGCAGCTGCTGCTCTGGTGTGAATAAGCCCTTATTTAGAGGGTATATATGAATATTTTTAACAACTTCTTTAATAAACAAAACATTTTTTTAATACAATTCATTTCTCTTAGCCTGGAACATGTACTAGCATGATTTGTTATTATTTTCTACAGCTCAAGTATTTGTTATTTATTACAATGAATGGGCATGTAGACTGCCCGGTCTTACCTCTCTACAGCGGCGTGCAGCTTTGGGAGAGGCAGGGAGATGATATCACTTCATATCCCAGTTCTCTTCTTATTGGCCGCCCTGTGCTGGCTTAAGAGCCTGTGCTGGCATGCACCCAAAGTTGGAGGGGCGCAGCTGCACTGGTGTTACGCTGCTAAAGGAACCAAGGCATTTGGTTTGCCTCGGCATGCGCCCTGAGATGAGAGCCGCAAGGCGTGCGCAAGTGGGCGTGGCTTATTTAGAGAGCTCCCGGCCGGCCGTTTTTTGACAACGGCCGGCCTGGAGGTAGTAAAGGTAGGGGTCTGCAGCTCCCCGGCCTTGACACACGAATGGGCTGGGCCAAGGGCCCTGGCGGGCCGGATGTGGCCCGCGGGCCGTAGTTTGAGGACCCCTGCTTTAACCCCTCCCCACTCTGCTATAAAAATGTGTTGTGCTTCTATCCCCCTTAGAAGAAATATTACATCACTTCCTGTATGTGTCACAGCCTGTCACCAGGAGAAGAAGAGAAGAGTTCCCAACAGGGACACAGACAGCAATAAAAACCTGACAGATATATGTAAAACAAATAAAAAAATACTGCAGTTGCATTTTAAATTCTGTGGACAGTATGTTATATTAATCTTCCTGTAACTGCAGAGCTAGACTTACTGACATGGCATGCTGGTGTTTGTAGTCCCACAGCAGCACCCAAGCTACAGATTGCCTAGCAATGCGCAGTATCACAGACACAAGCATGTCACCCAGCAACGTGCACCCATGACTCCAATACCCGCACAATACACAAGGAACAACAGCTGGGACTGTTGCCAGGGACAGACAGAGATGTACTCATTGTTGGGGGCCACAAGTACTGTCATGCAGAATCACTGCTGTAGCCATGGACTTCAGGTGCTTCCGGGTCCTTTCCAGTCATGTGACTCGGCTGCCAAAACAGTCAACGAGCACCACCTGGTGGCCACCAAGAATACCGCACGCAGATTATGTTCTGCGTGCACGCAAGTGGGCGTGGCTTATCTAGAGAGCTCCCGGCCGGCCGTTTTTCTACAACGGCCGGCCCGGAGGTAGTAAAGGTAGGGGCCTTCAGCTCCCCGGCCTTGACACACGAACGGGCCGGGCCAAGGACCCTTGCGGGCCATAGTTTGAGGACCCCTGCTCTAGTTGATCAATTTTATTAGTGTACATTTTAAACTGATCCTTTTTGTAATTTTATTCATTAGCTGCAAAAAAAACCCTAAAAAAAACGGTAACGTGTTTCCCCCCCCCATACATAAGCTTTATCTCAGTGTGATACAAATGGCTATATGAAGGTAGTAGGCGCAGATTGGTTGTCAAAACCAATACCGATGTAAAGAATGTGTTCAATCTGAACTTTTGGAGCAATGTATTACCGTTTATGTTTTTAATAAGTGTGGAGTATACTTGTAATCATGTTTATTATATTGGTTTTACGTGCGACTTAATACTCCTTTCTATATGGACACCAATAAAATCCTCACAACTAGATTCAGGCGTTCTAAATAATGCCTTCGATGTGGTGTCCGATAATTGTATCTATGCTGCATTGATTCAATTTGATTCAATTTTGATTTTTACAGGTAGAGTTGAGATTTGCATATACTTTTAGTTGCCTGTATCTCGTGTTGTTTTTATTTATTTAATTTTTTCATGATAACCTCTGCTAATACATTTTCTCTATACAAATGCTCAGTTTAAATTGCAAAGGTTAGTGATAGCTTTACAAGTAAAGTTAACAATTGGCTAGTAATGCTTTTGAAGTGAATACATAGCTGGACTAAAGGGTAGGTTTTTTCCCACTCCCTCCAAATTCTTTATTTATCAAACTCGACAATGAACAAGCAGAGTAATAGACACTTTCCAGGAGTGTATGTAACATACAATTGTATTAATAACCATTAGTCCACAAACAGCAGGAAACGAAGATACAGTATAAAACATCCGGCACCCCCAAAAAACACTAATAAATCCTAAAACCTGTGCAGTCATTAGCAACATGTTTTCTTTTTTAACATCATATAATTACAGGTAGGGCTGCCACTCTGACAGCGCCAACAGCTATCCGATTATTGTGGATAGATTTTTGAGAGGACAGAGGGCATCCTATACCATCGGGTTATCTAAGTTGTCTCCTGATACCTGTTACATATGGATGCTTTATGAGCAAAAAACACAATCCGGTCAAGCTGTGCGTTGGAGAACTAGAGGGATAAAAAGTATTCAATAGCAATTGATAGGCATATGAGTGCGTCCCACGAACCAAGGCCCGACCCCACACAACTCCTCGAACGAAGTACGTGGTCTATGGAACGGATCTGCTTGAGGCAGGGATCTTAAAAAAAAATATGAAAATTGTAGAGACCACCAAGGGTTAGGGACCTGGAATTCCTCTGTGAGTGTAGACATCTTTCCAACGCCCTTCATGAAGAAACTGGTAGGCAACATCCAGTCCGTACGCCCTCCGATTGTGAAAGACTTTGTCAGTGAAGCCAGAGAGGAATTCTGGATGGCCCATGATTGGAGTCATGGGGAGAGGGCATATAGGAGAGACCACACATCGTGTAGTATTTGAGAACCGCTAGAATGGTAGGGCCAGTAAGCGGATGTTGAAGTAAAGGGGTAAGAAGACCTGGGTCTAACCAGGGAGCCCCCCGTAGGGGAAAATCCAAACTCTGCTGCTCTATGTGGACCCAAAGCTTGACTCCATCATGTCTGCATCAGTCCACTACTCATGCCAAGTGAGCGGCAATATAATAGAAGTCCGGGAAACCAATGACGCCCTGTGGTTTAGCATGTTGCAGTATATTGCTTCTGATCCTGGCTGATTTTACCTTGCCAAATAAACTGGATAAAGGCTGATTGAATAGAACGCAGGTAATACCGGGGCAAACTGATAGGCAAGTTTTGGAAAATATATAATAAGCGGGGCATTACATTCATTTTCAAGACATTGCAACGTCCAAACCATGAAAATGTCAATGTCTTCCGTTGTTGTAATTCTGTGCTTAAAGAACGCAAACACGGGAGAAAATTCAGTGTGAATATATGAGCAAGATCAGACTGAATAAACGTACCCAGATAACGTATGGCCTGAGTTGCCCATCTAAAGGTGAAATTAGATTGGAGTAGTCCAAAAAGTGGTGTAGCCAAGGACACATTCAAGGCTTCCAATTTCTGCAAGTTAACTTTAAAGTTGGAAAGTGAGCCAAAAGTCTGCAACTCCAAGAGTAGGCTTGGTAAGGACGTGTGTGGGTTGGCTATGTAGAAAAGGAGGTCAGTCATCTCTATACGCTGCTAGTTTGTGGTGTTACCCCCTCAATCGAAGCCCCTGGATGTCCGGATTCTTCGGCACATGACAAAAATCAGGAAGGAAAGAGAGGACAACCCTGACGAGTGCCATTCGTAATAGAAAAAGGTGAGGAATTATGACCATTGACCCTAACCGTCGCTGAAGGCAAAGGATATAAAGCTTCAACCACTTCTGCAATTGCATGGTGAGGCCTATATGCAAGAGAATCCAATGAAGAAAATCCCATGGCAAGCACTTTTTCTGCGTCTGTGGACAGTAGCCTCATCGGAGTCCCCAGCACATTGGCCTCATAGCCTGAAAGTATGCCACGGATGTAGCTCTTATGCGTTACCCAAACCATCAACAGGTTCTCATCAGAACCCACATTGAGTTCAAAGAAAAAGAGGACAACCCTAAGGCAACCACTGCCTTAAGTGCTGGATCTTGGATCAGAGATTCATTCGTTCCTGATCAGAATATTGGTCCAACAATTGCCAGGGTACTGTTTTAGATAAAAGTATGCTGACCCCCTTCGATTTGGAAGATGGAGAAGGATTGTGGTACACCGTGGGAAAACGATGGTTATGAAGCCTAGGGACAGTATCCACTCTGAAATGTGTCTCTTGAAGAAAAGCTATATGTGCTTTGTCTCCACAGTTCTCTCAAAAGTATGGAG